GGGGTGCGAGAGCATAACCCTTGGATCTTGGATTTGAACCTCATACAAGCGTTCAAGGTGAACTTAATTCTCTCTCTCTCTCTCTTATTAATTAATAAATATGTAACTTTTTTTCTTCTAAAAATAAAGCGTGTAATTTATCAGTTCTTGGGGAGGTAAGATTTTAGTTATGGTAGGAATGAATCATAACATGATTTTTGGATTGCACAGTACATGAGACAAAAAAAAAAAAGTGGATTAATTACATATTCAAAGATTTGGTAGGAATTAGATTATCTAAATTTTTACTTCAAGAGCACTTGGTTTTAATGCGTGTACATGCAAATATAATTAGTTTGGGTATAGGTAAGTACTGTGGAAGTAGTATGTAGTTAGTTAATTAATTGTTCAAAGGTTAAACATGGAAATCAAGAAATAATGTGGTCAGCAGAAATAAGTCGTAATACAATGTTTTTTTAATAGTTAATCATAATTACCCATACTCTACGCAGCTGTATATATATGATCTTCAAAGACGAGAAAAAAATTTATCTTAAAAGATTTTATAATATTTTTTTGCCACACGGTCACGCCAAGCGTTAATGGATTGTAGCGGTACAAAACTTGAATTTGTTACGCATCCTCCTCTGTAGATTATTTTAATCTGATTATTATGGATCAGGACAAAATTGTCTTGTTCATATAATAGGAATAAAATGAAGTATTTGGAATTCTAGAATTAGACCGTACGTCATAAATAATATAATATTATGTTAAAAGGGTCATTAAAACATGCGAGCTATAATTAGACCTTTGAATAGAGGGGGTTTGAAGCCGCCATGCCAGTCCAATGTTTAAAGATTAAAGAAGGAATTTTTGCCTACATATATACTCTCCAAAATTACCCTATTTGCAGATTGACCTCCCACATACTCGTATTTACGAATGAGTAGATTTGCAACCGTGATTTCGACGGGTGTTGTCTGAGATAATGAGGGGCGGTAAAAGAATTCAATGCGGGCCGGAGAATGTAAGATTAAGTTAGCAAATATATAGATTTATATATTTAGTGGCATATAGGCAAAAAAATCCTATTTTATTTTATAGTTTTAGTATATATATAGTTGAGAAACGGGCGAGCACATGTGGGACTCCCATTTTGATTTCGTGAGCAGAAAGATGGTAAACATATATTTTATTTGATTTTATAGCTAGTTAACTGTTCACCTAGTTAGCATTGAAATGATGAATAATGTTATATATACTTCCTAACTCAAGTGATTGTTTTTTTTTGATAATTCAAATAATTGTTTTTCTGTGTTAATAATATAGGAAAAAAAGAATGAATAACATCACTGAAATATTATTTACTGGGGGTTACTTCAAAAATATATCTCCAACTCTTATTCACTAGTAAAAAACGGAGTATTCTAGATGGAAAATTCCGTCTAGGAAAGTCAAATTTTCGTCTAAAAGGCTATCCTAGATGGAATTCCGTTTATGATGTTGGTCCAGTAAGATTCCGTCTAGGATGCAGTATCCTAGACGGAATTTTCATCTAGGAAACATCCTAGACGGATAATCCTAGACGGAATTTATATTCCTAGACGGAATTACGGAAATTCCGTCTAGGATACCTACTATCCTAGATGGAAATGAATTTCGTCTAGGATGCATTCTAGACGGAATTCCGTCTAGGATAGTAGGTATCCTAGACGGAATTTGCGTCTAGGATACTGATGCTACAGTGTTTTTTTGGTTAGGAATCTACTTTGTGCATTGAAAACAATGGATAAGCTTGAAAACAAACAAATTCAACCAAACTCTAGCCATGACAAAAGTTATATATTAATGATTTGTTTTGTATACAACAAACATGCAGTTTGGCAATATGTGACCAGCAATCATCCATCTTTCAGCATCTCTTTATAAATAATGAACAATTAAAAAGTAATTAACTAAGGGCTTAAGTATTCTATATCATCAATTTAACATACACGCACACACCTACACCAGCCCATACACACACACACACATCCAACGGGATAATATATACCATCAGTTTCCTTGGTAATATAGTGCAAGCAATTGAAAGCATCCTAATACCACTAGGAAAGAACCCTAGAGAGGGGTGAATAGGATTTATGCTAATCTAATCCGATTTAATGTCAAATTAAAAACTTATTAACAAATATATCCTAGCAAATGAGATATGAACAATATACGTGTAAGGATATACAAATAACACAAGAGTAAACAAATTAAACTAGATAATTGACAATATAAACAACAAGAAATATACAAAGGCAATATGAATAATAAGCACGAATGTAAAAGCGCGCCAATGCAATCACAAACAAACGATATGTTCACGAAGTTCGGTCCCCACAACCTACGTCTCTGCTCCTCATCTTGAGGAGATCTCCACTATCACACCGGGTTTTCTACGCTTACCCAAAAAATATTTACACCTCACAATGTCGGTTTTCAACGCTCACCGATCAACGTTCACAATCAGTCACAATGTAACTACCTAACTACTACCTCAAGTGTTGGTCTCTAGATCGTGTCTCCCTTAAGTGTTAGGAATTACAACCTCTCTCTAGATATTACCACATACCCTACTTCTCTTGGGACGACCTCGTCTCTCACCATACACTTCTCTTGGTGTACTAGTGTATTACAAAGTGATCTACACAATTAGGCTCTCAAATACAACAAAGTTTGTTCTCTACTATGGATAAGAACATAATGAAAGCTCACACTCTAAGTCACACAATCCCCACAACCCAAATTATACTATGTATGAAAATACAATAAGCTCAATGGTTATGTGTGTAAACAAAGAGTAAAAATAAAACAATTAAACTCAATAATGAAATCTAGCTTATGGAAATTAGAATCAAAATAATAAATAGCTAGAATTGAGTTTAAGAAAACTTCTCTATAGATAACAAGAGAGAGAGAAGAGTTGAATGCTCAAACACCGATGGATGATCTCCTCTAGCTCTTGTGAAATTATCTTCACAAACTAAAACTTAAAAATGCTTAAAATCTTCTTAAACAAACTTAAACCAAACTTTAAAACCCTTGTTAAACTCTCTTAAAACATTCTCTTAGTGATTTTTGGTCTGAGGTAAGAGGGGTATTTATAGAGACCCCAAAACACAAGAAAAACAAAGAAAAAAGACCAAAAATCCAAAACAGGATAAGGAAAAAAAAATTTAGCCGTTACAGCATCAGTCGACTGACGGCTTCCATCAATCGACTGATGAGCTGACCGTTAGAGGTATTTTCCAGCTCATCAGTCGACTGACGATATTTATTAGTCGACTGATAAATCATCAGTCGACTGGTCAGTCGACCTAAATGAAACAGAAACTATTTGTTATTCTAGGCGATTTCTTCAGTCGACACATCAGTCGACTGATGTCATCAGTCGACTTACCAGTTTTGAATAGTAAAACTAATTTTTAAACTACCTTAAAAATAGCAAACAAATTCTAAAAAATGTAAAACTTTGCAAAATGATTGTAGACATGATAATACACATGCTACAAAAACTAGTTTTCAAAAAACACCTCCCAAATAAGAAATCTCTTCATTTTACAAAAATGTCCAAAACATGAAAACTTGATAGGTAGGAAATTTGATGTTTTGACATAAACCAAAATTTGAAACTATGTAAAATGATTTTATAGACTTGATAAAAAGTATAAACTATAGTTGTTAAGTCTATAAACCAAAAAGACAATATTTTTCCAAATAAAATAAAATATGAAACATATAAAAGTGTATATGAATATATAATTGTTTCATATCTATATAACTAAACCAAAAACCAAAACTTGTATATATATAAATATAAATATATATAAATCCAAAACGTGTATGTGTGTATATATGATATTGAGCTTAAAGTATCTAACACATAATATAAAACCTAAAACTAAATATACCAAGCAATGATCTTCATGACGCTCAATCTTGGTAACATGGATGAAGCTTGAACTTGGATCTTCAACTTGAATTGCAAGGCTTCATACCACAATTCCATCAACCTCTATTGGATATGATCGTTGAAGCTCAATTCCATCCATCCTCTAACATATTGTTTGTCTAGAATAAATACAAAACACAAACACTAGACAAACAACATTAGTTGTAAATTGTTTGTTAATCATCTTCAAAACAAAAGAACCTAACAACAATATGTCAACATGAATTTGAAATAGGTGTTGTGCGCGGCGGAAGCTTTCTAGGGCAACACGAACAATAACTAAAACTAAACCACAAGCAATATGCAAACCACAATCACAGCAAGAACACACAATTTACGTGGTTCGGCAAGTTGCCTACGTCCACGGGGCAAGGAGGGGGGAGTTCTTCCACTAGAAATCAAGAGAACACAAATAGGGTTACAAATCTCTCAGACCAAACCCTAAAACAAAGCTCTAGATCTCTCAAAGCTCTCTCACAATTGGATGCAATGATTCTCTCTCTTTAGCTGCTCAAATTCGTCCAACCTCTACCCTAAACAAACAGGTTTAGGTATATAGAACTTACAAACCGAACCGGGTCGAAAACCTGGAAAAACTGATATCCGTTTCGTCGGTCGACCGGCCCGGTCGACCGCGATCAATTCCGGTCGACCGGCCCGGTCGACCGATCACCATCCAGCAGAAACCCCAAAAATCCAGAGAGACGTCGGTCGTCCGCACCGGTCGACCGAAACATCTGCGGTCGACCGGGCCGGTCGACCGACCTCCTTCCAGACGCACAGGAAGCTGCTGATGCTGAAATTCCTTCAATTCTCCACCTCGGCGAATGTTTCCACCAAAAAACTGAGCCGACACCAAAACATCCAATAGTTCCTCAACAAGTCCAGGAAACCAATACTCGAGCTGAAACACGATCTCCCCCCCATCTTGATCAACTGATCAAACCGGCTGCATCTAAACACTGCCTACGTATCCTCTTGCCCAAGGAATCAAGCCGAACGTAGTTCACCCAAATGGCCGCCAACGGCCTCAGCACTGAAGGATGTTCAACAACTTCAAACAATGACCAAATTTCAC